AGAATGTGTATGTATATATATGTATAAGTGTGTGTGTGTGTGTGCATCTCTCTCTCTCTCTCTCTCTCTCTCTCTCTCTCTCTCTCTCTCTCTCTCTTTCTCTCACTCTATATCTCTCTCTCTCTCTCGATATAGAGCGGAGCGATGGAATGGGTCGGTGGAACGAGGCGTGGAGTGGGGAGGTAGATCTGCGCGGTGGAGTGGGCAGTGGAGTGGCGCCGTGGAGAGGGCGGGGGAGCAGGGCTGTGAAACGGGGAGGTGGATCTGCGCGGTGGAGAGGGCGGTGGAGTGGGCAGTGGAGCGGCGCAGTGGAGTGGGTGGTGGAAACGGGGAAGTGGAGCAGGCGGTGGAGTAGGCGTTGGAGAGGGCTGTGAAACGGGGCTTTGGAGTGGGCAGTGGAGAGGGCTGTGAAACGCGGCGGTGGAGCGGGCGGTGGATCTGCGCGGGGCGGGCGAGTGTGCGTGTGTGGCGGCGGCGGCGGCGCAGCGGGAGGGGGCGGCGGCGGCTCTACTCTCGTTAAGGGACGGCGGGAGGCCGACAAATTATCCCGCGCGCACTATATCATGCTCTATCAAACGCTGCTCATGCCACCTGCTGGTCGCCCCGCATTCCTTTCACACCACCTGCGGCCGCGCCACCTGTGTCCCCGCCTCTCTGATGCGGCGACGGGAAGGAGGGAAAGAGAGACTGATGGATTCATCTTCTGCCGGAATGCAGGAGGATGTGTGTGTGTGTGTGGGGGGGGGGGGTGTTAAAAGGGGGGGGGGAGGGTGGTTGTTTCTCAGTGTCTCGTTTTCTCTCTCGATCTCGTTAGATCTCTATCAGCCTATCTCTGTCTCGCCATCTCTCTCTCTCTCTCTCTCTGTCTCTCTCTCTCACTCTCTCTCTCTCTCTCTCTCTCTCTCTCTCTCTCTCTCTCTTATTCTCTCCTCTCCCTCCTTCCCTCCTTCCCTCCTCTCCCCCTTCCCCCCTCTCTCAGGTGGCAACGAACAAGCACAAAACACGAGTTAGGTTCACCAGGCAACTGCAAGCGTGATGGAGAAGATCCTTTAAGACGGAGATGATGGTGAGAGTGAATGATTGGGATGCTGTGAGGATGCTGAGGACGAGATGTGGTGTGGGAGCAAGAAGGGCATAGCGTGCTAGAGAGGGTGTGATGAATGGGTATGTATAATGATGAAAATATATTACGAGTGTGAAGGTATTAGCATAAGTAGAGAGGAATGTTGATATTGTTGAAGGCTATGTATTATCTTGAAATCATGGAAGGGATAGAGTTGGTGGTGATGATGTTTTTTTTTGTGATGAGGATGATGATAATGACGAGTGATGATGATTTTATTGGGTAATGACGATGATAATTATCATAATCATCATGAAACAAGAACATACTCAGTATACCCATTATAATATTGATACTACCATAGTTATTATTTACATGACAATGATAATGTTAGTGATAGCGAAAACAAGTAGAAAACAAGGCTACATCTAAATTAATCGCGCAAAAAAAATACCAACAATATCAATATGAGTTCATTCATAATAATATCAACGATGCAAAGTAAATGAAGACACTTTCAGGGCACCTTTGAAGCCGCTGTGATGCAGGTCGCTGATGGTGAGGATAAAGAACCTTGACTCAACTGAAACTCAGAGCCAACTCGCTACTCACCATCGCTAGTCTTGCCACGTACACAGCCAACGGGGAGAGAAAATTGAATAAAAAGAGGGGGAAGAGAGAGAGAGAGAGAGAGCAAGAGAATGTGTCTGAGAGACAGGCACACTCAGGGGCACACAGACGGAGAGAGAGAGAGAGAGAGACAGAGAGAGACAGACAGACACAGACACAGATAGAGATAGAGACAGAAAAAGAAAAAGAAAGAAAGAACGAGAAGAGGTGTTACCTGCTGGCGGAGATGCAGCTGCTGTCGCATCAGAAACTTAATTGACGCAAAAAGTGATTCTGGAAGTTAGATTAGACAGCCAATGAGACCGATTTATTAGTTGGAAACTTTGCTTCACAGGGATTCGAAAGGGTTGGGGCGTTTTTAGTGTTTTTTTAAATTTTATTTTGATTATTTATTTTATTTGTGGGGGGAGGGGGGGCTAGCGTGTAATAGAGAAAAATGAAATATGGTTATTGAAATTATGTATGTATAGTATGTATATATATACGAATATACACATGTATTCACACACAAACACACTGTATACATGAAATCCAGTCTGCTTGTATTTATAATTGCATCAAACTCAAACCAGAAACGATTTTACATCCACTGTCAAAAACACTAAAAAAAAGGAATAAATGAAAATAATAAATACTTTTTAATTACTTCAGACACACAGACACAGTTTTTTCTTTCTTTTTTTACTTCACCCTCTCAAAGAAATAAAATGTAATGATTAACTCAAGGATCAACGAGACGCATCGATATATATGAAATCATTGAAAAAAAATGAATAGATAAAAATTAAAAATTCCATTTGACGTATGCTCTTTAGGAGACGAGGTGAGGGAGAGAGAGAGAGAGAGAGAGAGAGAGAGGGGGGGGGGATTGAGAAAGAGAGGGAGAGAGAGAGAGAGGAAGAGAAAGAGAGAGATGGAGAGGGGGATAAATGGAGAGAGAGAGAGAAAGTGACACAGAAGGAGAGAGAGATGCAGGAGAGAAAGAGAGATGAAGAGTGAGAGAGAGAGAGGAGGGGGGGAGAGATGAAGAGTTTGTGTGAGTGAAAGAGAGAGAGAGAGAGAGAGGAGGGAGGGAGAGATGAAGAGTTTGTGTGTGTGAAAGAGAGAGAGAGACAGAGACAGAGAGAGACAAACAGGCAGACAGAAGGAACAACACCCCACGCAAAGGGGCAGGCCAGGCGCCTCGTGACCACCAGCGTAAATGAGTTTGTAGACGTATGGACCAGCCAGAGGTGATGACCCGTGCCATAATATGGTGCTAATGGGTTATGGGGTAGGACCAGACGCCGTGACCTCTTGGGACCCGATCTGACCTGATTACATCCCTCCCCCCCCACCTCTTTCAGGTCCCCTCTCTATCTCCATCTCCCCCCTCCCCCCGCCCCGTCCTACGCATTAGGTGGCTAACATGTTCCAAACTTGATTATCTGTGATTCCCTCGTGTTTCATTTCTCGGATGAGGAGGTGGGATGTTGGGCACGAAGAGGAGGAATAGGATTAAAGGGAATTTAGGTTGTTAAGGGTGAAATCTGGAAGAGAGAAAGCGGAGGTTCGGTCTTACGAGGATGTCTTACTCTTTCTGTTTCCCTTTTCCTTTCTTTCATGTTTTCTTTTGTTTTTTTTTTATTTAATTTGCCTTTCTTCTCTTTTCTTCTCTTCTCTTTCCAATTCTCTCTTCTGTCGCTTTGTCGGTCTTCTCTCTCTCTCTCTCTCTCTCTCTCTCTCTCTCTCTCTCTCTCTCTCTCTCTCTCGCTCTCTCTCTCTCTCGCTCTCTCTCTCTCTCTCTCTCTCTCTCTCCCTCTCCCTCTCCCTCTCCCTCTCCCTCCTGTTCTTTCTCCCTACGTCTCCCTTTCCTTCTCCCTCTCTTTCTCCCCACCTCTCCGTCTCCCTCCCTGCCTCTCCTCCCTGTCCCTTTCCTTCTCCCTCCTTCGCTCTCCCTCTCTGTCTCTCTTCCTCCCTCCCTCTCTCAAATAACCGAATCCAGACTTAATGTCAGTGTTCGAAGCAACGCAAAATTATCCAGTGCTAATTACCCACTATTTTGGGAAGACCTCAAAGTGGAGTCTAATTATGCACGTGCAGGTTCATTGCAGATTGCATGTGTGTGTGTGTCTGTGTGTGTGTGTGTGTGTGTGTGTGTATGCGTGTGTGTTTGTAATACTTTTTTTCTGAGGTATGCAGAAGTGCCAGGGTGCATTTTACAGTGCAAATATGTTTTTCTTATTAAGCTAACACACTGATAAATTATCTCATGTACAGCCTTTGTGTGAATGGATACCGCCATGCACAGAACACACACCAGCGCAAGTAGCAAGCACAAAGTGTACACATGGATTCCCCCATGCACAGTGCACACAGGGACGCAGGAACGAAGTACACACAGAAGAATAGTATAGGAGAAAAAATAAATAAAAAATAACATGTACACGTCAGGCCATACCCCGACCGTAGCGTGGCGTGTCGTGTGTTCGTAGGCCTCTCTCGCTCTCCTTTATCAAGCGGTATTGATCAGCTGATTCCTCGGCCGTCGCAGCCTCCAAGAGATTATTTATAGGCTTGATTAACTCCTCCTCCCCCCCCCTTCCTCCCGTTCTCTCGTCTTGCTTATCTTGTTTATCTTGTTGATTTGGGGTTAACTCGCTTCCCGTCCCCTGTCTGTTTGGGTTGTTTGGTTGGGTGTGGTAGTCTGTTTGGGTTTGTTTGTTTTTGGTTTTATTTGAAAGGTTGTTCGGTTGATAGATATGCACTCGAATCGAACACACACGCACACGTGCACGCACACACACACACAAAACACACACACAAACACACACACACAAACACACACACACAAACACACACACACACACGCACACACACGCACACACACAGCACACACACACACACACACACACACACACACACACACACACACACACACACACACACACACACACACGCACACGCACAACACTGATAAGCTGAACCAAAAAAATGACGCGTTATAAACACTTAAGTGACCTTAGCAGAGTAGCTACATTTTACCCAATCTCAGTAAAGGAAAAGCTGGCAACTCACACCATTTTCCTTTTTTTTTTTTAGAAAAATAATAAAACTATATAAAGCAATGAAAATTCAAGTATATGATTTTTTTAATGCTAAACCTGTGTAAACATAAGTATTTCGAATCTTGTCGAATCGGGGTATTCTAGAGTCAGAGTTGCCAGTTAATTAATTTCTTATGAATGATTATTCCATATGTGCTCTCAGTATATGTTCACACGAAAGTGGTTTTACGAATTTTTGATGATTTCGTCTCTCTTTCCAGGTACGAGAACCCACGAAGCACTCGTCCTTTGAAGAGGAAAAACGCAAGGTAGGCGATTAAAGTCGGTTTTTCTAAATTTCGTTATATATATATATATATATATATATATATATATATATATATATATATATATATATATATATATATATATATATATATATATATATTTATTTATTTATATTTATATATTCATATATTTACATATACATTTATATACATATATATATATATATATATATATATATATATATATATATATATATATATATATATATATATAAATGATTTGCATATATATTTGTACATTTATTTATATATTCATTTGTACATGTCTGTCAATCTTTCAGTCTCTCTCTTTCTCTCTTTCTTTCACTCTCTCTCTCTCTCTCTCTCTCTCTCTCTCTCTCTCTCTCTCTCTCTCTCTCTCTATATATATATATATATATATATATATATATATATATATATATATATATATATATATATATATATATATATGTATATATATATATATATATATATATATATATATATATATATATATATATATATATATATATATATATATATGTCTATCTACCTGTATGTATATATGTCTATCTATCTATCTGTATACCTGTATATGTCCTTATCTGTCTCTTCGTCTATCTATCCCTCTCTCTCTTTCTCTCACCCCCTCAGTCTGTCAGTCACAATATCCATCTATCTTCCTACGACCAAGTTAACTTTTCGCACAGACCACCTCGGTAGAGTTAGTCTAGTAAAAGTAAAGTCTAGTTTACTCATTTACTCCAACTGTACTATATGTTACGAGCGCTGGCTAAGTACATCATAGTACATATTGTAGTTTTGTCTTTCAAAATGTGAATGTAGTGTTATGTGGAGTTTATACATGTCATTCCCCTGTATTACCCTCATATGTTGACAGGATTGACAAAGGACATTATAGTACATAGTGTAGTTTTGTCTTTCATGACACAAAATGCATAGATATTGGTTTAAATACTTTCCCCTTTATGTTACCCTCTATTTTTCTTTTCTCTGTTCTCCACCTCGCCCCTCTTCTTTCCCCCCCCCCTCACCTTCCTCCTCCCTTCTTCTCTTCCTCCTCCTCCTCTTCCTCCTCCTCCTCCTCCTCCTCCTCCTCCTCCTCCTCCTTATCCTCCTTCTCCTTATCCTCCTTCTCCTCTTCCTCCTCCTCCTCCTCCTTCTTCTCCTTCTCCTCCATCCCCCCTCCTTTTCCTCCTCCTCTTCCTCCTCCTCCTCTCCATCCTTCTCCTCCTTCCCTCCTCTTCCTCTTCTCTCCCTCCTCCTCCTCCTTCCTCTCCCTCCTCCTCTTCCTCCTCCCCCTCCCCCTCCTATTATCTTCTCCCCCTCCTCCTCCCCCTCCTTCTCCTCCTTCCCTCTTCCTCTTCCTCTTCCCTCCCTCCTCCTCCTCCTCCTCTTCCTTCCCCTCCTTGTCCTCCTTTCTCTCCTCTTCCTCTTCCCTCTCTCCTCCTCCTCCCTCTCCCTCCTCCTCTTCCTCCTTCCCCCTCCCCCTCCTCCTCCCCCCCCCTCCTCCTCCTCCTCCCTCTCCTCTTCCTCCTCCTCCTCCCCCTCCTTCTCTTCCTTCCCTCTTCCTCCTCCTCCTTCCCCTCCTCCCCCCTCCTCCTCCTCCTCCTCCTCTTTCCCCTCCTCTTCCTCTTCTCCCCTCCCCCTCCTCTTCCTCCTCTTCCTCTTCCTCTTCATCCCCCTCCCCTTCCTACTCCTCTTCCTCCTCATCTTTCCTCCACCCCCTCCTCCTCCTCCTCCCTTTCCTCCTCCTCCCCTTCCTCCCCCTCCTCCTCCTCCTCCTCCTATTTCTCCTCCCCTTCCTCCTCTTGCTCCTCCTCCTCCTCCCCCCCTCCTCCTCCCCCTCCCTCTCCCCCTCCTCCTCCTCCTCCTCATCCTCCCCCCCTCTTTCTCTTCCTCTTCCTCCTCTTCCTTCTCCTCTTCCTCCTCCTCCTCTTTGGAAAGCCTCAACAGACCCGTCACTTTTATGGCAATTCCATTATTTGTATTTATTCTGTGTATGGCACTTATGGCAATGTCAATACTCGCATGTTCGTGTTTATTGGTTTATGGTTCGAGTGGTACAAGAATTTTTCTTTGATGGACGAGCCATGATGGAAATGTGAAGGCAGTATTGTGTGGATCGGCAGTTTTGGAGTTCGTAAATTCTCCGGGTTAATTAATTCAGTAATTAACGACTTGGCAACACCGATAAGTGGTTGTTCTGAGTAAGATTTTTTTTTCAGCTTTTTTTTTTTTTTTTTTTTTTTTTTTTTTTTTTTTTTTTTTTTTTTTTTTTACTAGAAACTTATTACTATTATTTTTTTTTATCCCTTTCGTCTTCTGTTTTGGGGTTTATTTCCATTTTTTTAAATTCTGTTTTACGGGAAGTTTTCTGCATATTTATGAGCAAACTTCGTGAGCTAATAAAGTTCACTCTTGTGCATGAACCCCATCGTAGCTTCCATTGCAATTTTCGTATCCTTTACCGTGCCCTCATTGCAAGGGTCATGCGATATTCCTAGCAGTGCTTCCATTGCAAGACCTATATATCCGACACTGCAAAGATCGTGCCCTTGACAGAGCCTCCATAGTAGTAGCAGTACTCCAAGCATTGCAAGGAAGGGCCCCCGGAGCAGTGTCTCCATTGCACCCCTCGTGGCCGCTCGTGTTGCTCCCTTCCCCCCACCCCCTCCCCCCTGACCTCGTCTGCCGAGCGCAACACTAATCACCTACAGTAAAATTGGCATCCCTGATGGATCTTGTTAATTAACTCCGGCCAGATTAATTGTCGTCAGAAGGGGAAATGTATTTACCATATTTGTCAGCGGGACTATTGTGGCATTTTGGTCGTATGGTCGGGGTGGGAAGCGGGCGGCGGGGGGCGGGGCGGGGCGGTGGAACAGCGGCAACATTTGGCTGTTCCGGCGAAGGGACGTTGTGGTGGTGTTTGTTGACTGGTTATTGAGTTTTGATGAGTGAAATGGTAGTTGTTAATGACTCTTTGCGGATGACAGTCTGTGTATGACAAAAGGATTCTTGGAGAAAAAATAACGACTATGGATAAAAAAAAAAGGAAATAAAATGCCAAGGAAAATAAAGAAAGTTGATGTATTTAATACAGAACGAAAGAGATATCTTACTCTTTTTTTTTTTTTTTTTTTTTTTTTTTTTTTTAGAAATATTCAGTAGAAACATAATCCTCCTGAGATTTAATACAGCGGATACCATAGATGATACTACTACGGCGGATAACTCCCTATAATTAATTCAATAGAGAGATGATTAATTCAATAGAGGTATCATTAATTCAACAAAGGTATAATTACACCAATTTAGAGGATATGGGATGATGTAATTAATTCACGAAAAAAAGGCATCCCTCTCCTTTCTTTATCGAAGTAATACCATATAATTAACAGTTTATATAATATCTGCTATCACTATAATAAAAAAACACCCTCTATTTCCTTTGGAACAGAACAAGCGGTTGTTGCAATTGCACGAAATCTGGATGCAGTGTAGGAGTGAATAAATGTTTTTTTTTTAATGACAAAAAAATATGAGGATAAGGGGAGGTTTTCTTTCTTGGGGGGGGGGGGGGTCTGTAAGGCATGAGGAGAAGGTAAGAATGAGGATATTGACGTAAGGAAATGAACGAAGATTGGAATGGGGGATTAGGAAGATAAAAGAAGGGAGATGGGAAATATTCAAGATGAAAAAGTTGTGTTTCTGTACGTATATAAGTGTATGTGTGTGTGTGTGTGTGTGTGTGTATGTGTGTGTGTGTGTGTGTGTGTGTGTGTGTGTGTGTGTGTGTGTGTGTGTGTGTGTGTGTGTGTGTGTGTGTGTGTGTGTGTGTGCGTGCGTACATGTGCGCGTATATGTTCATGAGCGTTTATATGTACTTATGTATATATTCATTCCTTATAAAAAAAAAAATAAAAAAAATCGCAATAGGAAAGAGAAAACATAATGAAACCAAAAATAAAAACGAATCCAAAACACCAACAAAAGGGAAAACACAGAACACAGGAGATTTAAAACTTCAGCCCAATGACAGCCTGCGAGGGGCGCGCGAGGGATGGTGACTCCGACGGGCGAGAGAGCGAGCTGGTGATGGCCAGGAACATTTATCAAGCCACGTGTACTGCCCCGCGAAAATTAATTGTTACTCGGGCGAGGCGCATTTTTTTGTGCCTCCGCCATACATCTCCGTCGTGGCTGATGTTGCCACCAGTTCCTGACAACGCCAGCGCTGCCTGCCACCTGCGCGCTCCTCCTCCTGCCAACACGCCTCGATTTTTTCCTCCCCATTCGTTGAATAACTACCTGAAATAAAAACAATAATAAACAAACCCGATCAAATCCTATTTAACTAATGATCGCATCCTACTTCCGAGGAATCGAATACCCTAAACACAGGATCGAGTATAAAGTCCGATCGTCTTTTGTCTTCTACCTGCGCCGCCATATTGGTTTCATTCGCCCCTTATGCCATCATCAATAACGCGCGCGTCCATTGGCCTCGGCAGCGAAGCTCTATTGCATTCCGCGCAACTTTATTGGGAAAAATAAACGGGAGAATTTTAGAGGTATTTTTGTTTCAGTTGTTTTATTATTATTGTTATTATTATTGTTGTTATTATAATTATTGTTGTTTTTGTTATTATTATTATTATTATTATTATTATTATTATTATTATTGTTGTTGTTGTTATTATTGATATTTTCTTATGTTTATTTATATGTTCTGCCTATTTTACTTGTGTCTTTTTATTAGTCATCAATTATTGCCTTGTCTCATTCATTTATTCACTTCATCGTAATCTTCTCTCTCTCTCTCTCTCTCTCTCTCTCTCTCTCTCTCTCTCTCTCTCTCTCTCTCTCTCTCTCTCTCTCTCTCTCTCTCTCTCTCTCTCTCTCTCTCTCTCTCCCTCCCTCTCTCTCTCCTGGTAAATATGAAAAGAAAGAGAGAAAAGAATAAAAGAGAGTAAGCGAAAGACGAGTCGAAAGAAAGTGACAAAAGAGTAGAAAGGAAGAGAGGAAGAGAGGAGAAAGAGAGGAAGAGAAGAGGAAGAGAGGAAGAGAAGAGGAAGAGAGGAAGAGAAGAGGAAAAGAGGAGGAAGAGAGGAAGAGAAGAGAAAGAGAGGAAGAGAAGAGAAAGAGAGGAAGAGAGGAAACAAGAGAGAAAACAGAAGAGAGGAAGAGAAAAGGAAGAGAGGAGGAAGAGAGGTAAAGAAGAAGCAAGAGAGAAGACAGAAGAGAGGAAGAGAAAAGGAAGAGAGGAGGAAGAGAGGGAGAGAGGAAACAAGGGAGAAAACAGAAGAGAGGAAGAGAAAAGGAAGAGAGGAGGAAGAGAGGGAGAGAAAAGGAAGAGAGGAGGAATAGAGGAAGAGAAGAGGAAGAGAGGAAGAGAAGAAACAAGGGAGAAGACAGAAGAGGGCGCGGGTGACGTGAAATACGATGGTGTTGCCCTAGATTTCTGACGTGACTTTGTCCTTAATTAACTGTCGCTTCAGATGCTCTCTTCTGCAGATCCCCAAATGGATTCTCTTGCTGTCTGTCTGTGTCTGTCTCGGTCTCGGTCTCGCTTTCGCTCTTGCTCTCGCTCTCTCTCTCTCTCTCGCTCTCTCTCTTTCTCTCTCTCGCTCTCGCTCTTTCTCTCTCTCGCTCTCGTTCTTTCTCTCTCTCGCTCTCTCTCTCTCTCTCTCTCTCTCTCTCTCTCTCTCTCTCTCTCTCTCTCTCTCTCTCTCTCTCTCTCTCTCTCTCTCTCTCTCTCTCTCTCTCTCTTTCCTTCTTTCTCTCTCCTTCTCTACCTCCCTCCCCCCCTTCCTCCCTTCTTCTCTCCCTCCTTCCCTCCCACCCTCCCTTGGGGGTTGGGGGGGGGGTGGAGGCAAGGTGAAGGGAAATGAGGGTTAATGGGAGAGAGAGAAAACAGAGAATAAATATGGAGAGAGAGAAAGAGGAAGTGTGGAGGGGGGGGGGATGAGGTTGAGCTAGTGGGGGTTTAAAAGGGAACTGAACACTAAAAAGAAAAAAAAAAGAAAAAAGAAAATATTAAGGAAAGGGTGGGGGGGGGAGGGAATTGAACGAAGGAGGGAATGCAAAGCGGAGGGAGAAAGGAGGGAGGGAGGGAGGGAGGTGGAGGAGGGTACAGTGAGGGAAGGGAATGTGATGGGATGAGGAGGGGAGGGGGGTGGGAGGGTGTTAGAGAGACGGGGGTGGAGGCTGCTCATTAACACTCCCTCATAAATCTTTGCACGTCACGCAATTTGATGTTAACTGATTCATCCCCCGCGGCCGCCTCGCCTGCTACGACGGTGATAGGGATTTCGGCCTTTGTCAATCTCGCGGATTCTCCAGGAACGGACGAAAGGGCGCGGGTTTCGCTCTCTGGCATTAGGATATGTATCATTATTGTTATTATTATTATTATTATTATTGTCATTGTTATTATTATCATTATTATTATTATTATTATCATTATTATTATCTATAGTATAATATTCAATAAAACATATATACATAAGTATGTGTTGTATATATGATATATAATATATATATATATATTATATATATATATATATATATTTATATATATATATATATATATATATATATATATATATAGTATATATATATATATACATACATACATACACACACACACACCACACACACAGAGAGAGAGAGAGAGAGAGAGAGAGAGAGAGAGAGAGAGAGAGAGAGAGAGAGAGAGAGAGAGAGAGAGAGAGAGAGAGAGAGAGAGAGAGAGAGAGAGAGAGAGAGAGAGAGAGAGAGAGAGAGAGAGAGAGAGAGAGAGAGAGAGAGAGAGAGAGAGAGAGAGAGAGAGAGAGAGAGAGAGAGAGAGAGAGAGAGAGAGAGAGAGAGAGAGAGAGAGAGAGAGAGAGAGAGAGAGAGAGAGAGAGAGAGAGAGAGAGAGAGAGAGAGAGAGAGAGAGAGAGAGAGAGAGAGAGAGAGAGAGAGAGAGAGAGAGAGAGAGAGAGAGAGAGAGAGAGAGAGAGAGAGAGAGAGAGAGAGAGAGAGAGAGAGAGAGAGAGAGAGAGAGAGAGAGAGAGAGAGAGAGAGAGAGAGAGAGAGAGAGAGAGAGAGAGAGAGAGAGAGAGAGAGAGAGAGAGAGAGAGAGAGAGAGAGAGAGAGAGAGAGAGAGAGAGAGAGAGAGAGAGAGAGAGAGAGAGAGAGAGAGAGAGAGAGAGAGAGAGAGAGAGAGAGAGAGAGAGAGAGAGAGAGAGAGAGAGAGAGAGAGAGAGAGAGAGAGAGAGAGAGAGAGAGAGAGAGAGAGAGAGAGAGAGAGAGAGAGAGAGAGAGAGAGAGAGAGAGAGAGAGAGAGAGAGAGAGAGAGAGAGAGAGAGAGAGAGAGAGAGAGAGAGAGAGAGAGAGAGAGAGAGAGAGAGAGAGAGAGAGAGAGAGAGAGAGAGAGAGAGAGAGAGAGAGAGAGAGAGAGAGAGAGAGAGAGAGAGAGAGAGAGAGAGAGAGAGAGAGAGAGAGAGAGAGAGAGAGAGAGAGAGAGAGAGAGAGAGAGAGAGAGAGAGAGAGAGAGAGAGAGAGAGAGAGAGAGAGAGAGAGAGAG